AGCTGCGCATGCGCAGAAGTGAAATGCGTCATATCCGAAAAGACATATACCTTCCATCTTAAAAACCGGATCAAACTGGATGCGCTATATCAGAAAACACATATACTACTTTAAACAGTTTCTTGATTATAGATACTATAGTTTTAAGTTATTATACAATCTCGATAAACACGTTAATGGGTTAACTAAATTTACATCTATAAATCAAATTATATGATTTCGAAAAGATTTCGCGACAATTGCACGCCCTTTACCGTCAATTTCAGTTTTCTTACTTTAAAAGATATTTTCCTGTTTACGTTATACAAAATTTGCTGCTACGACTTCATATCGTTTTTCCAGTCCTCTTTGTGTATAATCACTATCTGCGATGGTCCTATAAAACTTGATATCTCCCGATCGTGATATTCTATGCTTCCAAAACACAACTTGCAGTCAAATTGTTAATTTGACCATATAAACTACGATTCTAATAAAAGTTATTATTATAATAACAGTTAACGAGTGTGCTAGTAATCCTTGTGTCAATGGTGTCTGTATCGATCAGGTTAACATGTTTACTTGTTCCTGTAATCCAGGATTTAATGGAACTCTTTGTGAATCAGGTATGGTATATTATATCTTAATGGGTGTAACTATGTTTTTGTACACCACACGAAAAGTCAAAGAGCTGCAACGCTGAAATTTGCAGGGAATATCCACATTGCCTATCTCGACATTTGAGATAAAACAGAACTCAAATATTTGCCATAGATTAGGAATTAGGGGCGATTTACGCCATATAGACCGAAAATAGCAAACACCTAACTTTGCTAAATGCTTTGGTTACATTTCTACAAAACATGTTCCAGAAAAGTAAACTAAAATTTGTTTTCAATTTATTTTACCTATTCGTGTATATGATATCTTCCGGTAGAAATTATTCCCAAATCTAAAAACTTAATCGATTTAGATATCTAATTGACATTTATATTTGCAAAAATTGTTAATTTGACCATATAAACTACGATTCTAATAAAAGTTATTATTATAAAAACAGATATAAACGAGTGTGCTAGTAATCCTTGTGTCAATGGTGTCTGTATTGATCAGGTTAACATATTTACTTGTTCCTGTAATCCAGGATTTAATGGAACTCTTTGTGAATCAGGTATTTTTTTTTTTTATCTATTTGTCATGGTTCATTTTGGTATTGATGATTTGTTTGCAAACAGAAACAAAACCAAAGCAGCGTGCCATTACAATTTGATTAATACGGGGGGTACAGAATTGAGTAAGATTTTCGTTAAAGAATTGAAGCCGAGAGAAACTCAAACCATACTTTGGAATATTTACTTGGAAAGAATGTGTTATCTGTTCAGACGGGTGTCGTTTGTTAACGTTATACCTCATTTCCGTTCTATTGATCTGCTTGGACGATTTAAATAGCATCAATCTCATTTCCACAAAACTAAGTGTACCGAGTTTAATTTAATACGGGTTAAAAAGACAAAGTTGAAACCCGTATTCGTGATACGATGCGTCCAGGGCTGCCTTTATGTATTTCAGGCTGCACACCACAAGATGTATTTTTTGTTGTTGACGGATCAGGATCAATTGGACTATCGAATTTCAACAAAATGAAAAACGCACTAGCATATGTCATGCCAAGGTTTCGTATTGAACCAGCTGTGGTAAATGTTGGTCTTCTAGTCTTTACTTTGCTTATAAGTGATGTAATTGACATTTCAATCAATTACAAACAGATATTCGTGCTCTCAATTATTTCCGGGGAGGGACAAATGCAGGAATAGGTATCGATAGAGCCCAGCAGATACTTGTGGCTCAAGGTAGACCTGGAGTCCCGAATGTTATGATAGTCATTGCTGATGGAAGTTCATCTTCAAATCCGCGACCTAATGCAGATGCTGCCAAAGCCGGAGGGACGGTTATCTATACCATAGGAATTGGTGGTTCGAGCGATGTCAGCGAGATGACAGATATAGCTTCCGATTCTTCTAAATTTACCAAAGCAGACACATTTGGTGTACTCAAGGATACACTTGATGACCTAGTTAATGGTCTGTGCTCTTATCGATCTTACTATATTCTATTTTTATTAATTTCAAAAAATCAACATGCTACTTTGTGGGGTTATTTATGATTTATAGCTTTGGTTAGAGGGTTAGTGTTATTTATTTCAAGGTTCTTTTTTATGTGCATCGTGTGTCGATAACATTGATTATGCACCATTAAATTATCAGTTCGACGTCTGTGACTCTTACACACAGACTAACTGTAATTCTCCTTAGAGTGCATTCTAGAGCTCAATTATATCATACTGCTGGGCAATCGTTAAGATACGTATCAAGGTATAACAGTACACTATCGCTTAATTATGTAATAGACAAAATTTAACATTTTATCTTAAAAGGTTTAATTTTCAATCAGACGTCTGTGGTTACTGCATTTGTACTAAAACTAAGTGTTTTATGACGTCACTAATTATGAAGGGTCTTAATGATAAAGCTTAATTTGTAATTAGTGACGTCAACACTTAGTTTTAGTGGAACTACAGAAGGCTGATCGCAAATTGATGCTATCAGTCTCCCTGATAAACACACAAAACCCTTACCATTCCTCGAATATATTTTTGTGTTGTGTTTGTAGTGTGAATAAATTATGTTACTTAATGTGGTTATATATCAAAATTATGAATTATAAATTATGTATATATATATATATATATGAAATTTACGGTGTTGCCCGTGATCAAATTCATAATTTCATATATATATATATATATATATAAGAGAGCGCACCCTCTTAGAATATTTAGCACTTGGTATCCAGACATCTAGAAACTAAATAACACTTTCTCAAACATCATATCCATTGTTGCCATAGATATAATAACCCAATAGGAAAATCATTTCAGCGCATAATACGACGTGGCTTCCGGTTAAATTTCGAGCGACTGACCCCTCTGACTCTGCCACTGCCAAAGGTGCGAAAGGTATTTTTTTCTTATCAAAGCTGCGGCTAGCCAGGTGGTGTAATGCCAAGCCAGTCATAGACACCAAAGTTGTTGGCTTAGCTGTATCAAGCTGAAACAACCCCTCAGCCAGCCGAAAATTGGGATGTTGGTTGGCTCACGGGGTCTCTCTACATTTAGGACTTCAGCTGTCTATCTTTACAAAGGTAAAATCAGTATCGGCCATTTGCTTTTGTCTTTAACAGTTCTGAAACTAACCATTCACGGTATCTAGTGATTTTCAAACTGGTCGATAAACACACTTACACGTTGACATTTTATGCGTTCTTTTCATTCCATTTTCGTACAAATCACAGCTTGTACGTACCACAAGTCTAGTAATTTAGAGGTAATCTACTCAAATAATTATATCTATAAGCATGAGGGTCTAAACATTCAAGTTTTGTACAGATCATTTGCCCGTTTTTCATTTTAGGCGGAATTTTATCACTTTACAACTTCACAAGCTTTGCACTACCAAATCTCCAACATCTTCAAAATTTGTGAAGGATACTGTTAAACAGATGAATACATTTTATTCCTGTTGCCCAAAACTCCTCATGCCCTCGCACAGATATTGTCTGGCTGCCTCTGTTCTCTGTGTATAGCTTTCGAATAAAATAACTAGTTGAAATAATAGAGTAACCGCCTTGACTAAATTGGGCATAAGATTATTACAAAAATATATCACAAAACAGTCAAATTGGTCATGAATGGACCCAACCTGCCTACAACAACCAACAGGACCATTTCAGTGCACAAGAATAACATAGGGCCCTCTGCGTGTCTTCCTAGTACAAAACATCTGCCTCTATTGGATATTTTAACAGTTTTTGGCTGGATTAGACTAGCCGACATCTGTCTAAATATCTATCAGAGGCTGATATAGAGACAGATGTTTCGGTCTACTTGCCTTGCGAGATCTCTTTACCAGTTGAATCATGCCTTTGGAACTGAATGCAGCTTATTCAAACTTGTTCGTCCAAAAACATAAACCATCACGAAGGAAGAAGATAATCAGAACCTTCTTAAAACACAATTTGAGCTCAGCTTGTAACTTTACAACTTCAAAAGCTACTGAAATCGTTGAAAATAAAAGCATAAACCAAATTGACGAAATTGGGCAGGAAGTATAAATAACCTGCCACAAAATAGTCAAAGCGGTCTTTGCTCCACCATCTCTCATCAGTCGCACTATCATCTCTGGTAGTATGGTACCTATAGAAACTGAGCAAATACCATATTGGAATGAACATTTGTATCACAATTTCGGTCAATCAAGAAAGATAATTCACTTTAAAAAACATGTTAAAAAATACTTGATACTCGAGATAACCAAGAGCGAAAGTAGACCATCAATTTTAGATACAAATGTCATCACAATACATTTCCTGAAAGAAATATAAATTGATAAAATTAGTTACAAGTACCCTCAAATGCAGCTGACAAATGTACTTATGATTAGCAAAATATGACATTTCTACAGAAGCAGCATATGGCCTACAGATGTTGTCCAGAATTCAGCAATACTGTGTCATGTATCCATCAAATGTAGATTTGAATCCTCTCAAGGAATTGACAAAATGAATAATGTCAGATTTATGTTTCTAATATTTGCCGTAGAACACATGGCACCATCTTCGAGTATCATGCAGCAAAGTGGTCCCCTTACCTACTACATGACCACTTCCAGAGTGCCATGCTGACCGACCATCCAATTTAGCAAATGGCAATACCCAAATTATCCCTACTGTGAGAGGAAGATTTCCTAAAATTAACATTTTCATGTGAATATCCAACAAGCGTGGTTAATGCAGAACAAAAGTGACCATCCATCAAATGCCAATCAGGCGTGGCTCTGTCCTAAAAACTCAAAAACCTTTCATCGAAAAATCGTCTAATTTGAACTTAACCAAGATCTCATCAATATAAATCATAACACCATATTTCATTAAAATCAGATGAAAACTGTTGTTTCTTTTGTGCTCATGGTTTAAAGTTTGACGCATTTTTACGAAGTCAAGGGAAATAACTTAAAAACTGTTCATCGAAAAATGGTCAAATTCACACTTGTCTAAGATCTCATGAATATAAATGAAACACCAAGTGTCATTCAAATCAAATGAAAACTGTAGTCTCCATTGTGTTTACAACCATATTTTCACGCGTTTTCCTATGCCAAGGGCAAAAATCGTTCATCAAAAAAATCATCAAATTGGAGCTTGACCAATATTTCATCAATAAAAATGATCACACCATTTTTCATTAAAATCAGTTAAAAACTGTAGTATCTGATGTGTTCACAAACAAATTTTGACGCATTTTTCCTAAGTCAAGGGAAATCACTCAAAAACCCTTCATCGAAAGATCGTCAAATTGACCAAGATCTCACCAATATTAATGATCACACCAACGGACAGGGGCGACAGCAATATACGTCCACATTTCATGTGGGCATATAAAAATCAGATTTGGTGATTACGAGGCAAGTATACCAAGTATATGAGCTCCTTTTGGTTTTGATGTAAATATAGCCTAACTGGCACAATTCACTAGGCTTTCCAGAGACGAAGGACTGATCCAGGATCGGACTTGGTCTAAAAAAAACCCCGACCGTGCAATAACATACGCCCAGAGGTTTCTATAACGGACAGGGTCAGGGGCACCTGCTGCATGTGATGTTGCATGAGAAAAAAAAGATAACTCACATAATGTTAACACGTGTGCCTGTGTTTTCTGGTTACTCTAACTGGACCATGAAACAATCTACCTAGAAAAATAGGTGTAAAAAGTGATCTAGAGGCGTTATTTTATATACAAATGACTCCGAGTTTCGATTGTAAAGGAATGATTGAGGATATCAAATGCAGAATACTTCTCAAAAGTAGGTGTATGTACATCTGAATAATGGTATGGATCCAGTTATGATTTATCAGATATACTGGAATAAGCTGTTTCAAGGTTGAATGTTCAATCATGGTTTAAAGGAATATGGTACTATATTTTGCAGCTAAGGAACTAAACTTTGATGAATAAAACAGATAGCTTATAATAATAACAATGAGTCACACAAGAATGCAAACGTTTATTTAAAAACAAGAGTCAGGCAATAGTAGTTACATGTTTAATATTTTAA